ATGGTGGAAGTGAGGTTTTCTAACTTTCAAGGTTGATCATAAGAATGCTATACACTTCTGCCTTGCTCTGTTAAAATTTTCACTTTTAAAAGCCAGCTATCGTATTGGGAAGAAGCCCAAAGTAACCATCATGGGGAGACCACACAGAGAGGTCCTGTGTAAGCGTTTCAGCCAGAGGCTGACAACTTGTGACCCCAGCCCAAAGCCAGCAAAAACTGCCAGACAAGTGAGTGAAGACATCTCTGATGACTCTACCCCTCAGCTCTTAAATCATCCCTAGGTTTTAAATCTCCCCAACCTGAGGTACCAGAGAGTAAGGCACAAAAATGAGCAATGCCCACGGTGCCCCGTCCAGATTCCTCACCCACAGAATCCATGATTGTTTTATCCTCTTTGGGGGTAGTTCATTACACAATAATGACTGAAACATTTGCCGTTACCACCATTACCACATTGGTATTTCCATAACAGGATAGTGCTTCCTGAGAAAAAAATTAGAAGAACCAAGATTGATGAGGAGGAAGTAAACTTATCATTATTTGCATGTGAAATAATTACATAGCTGGAAAAGCCAAGAGAATCAACTTAATTATTATTAGAAGAATAAGAGAATTCAATAAAGGGCTAGGTTCAAAACCTAATTTCCTTCATTTGTACTTACATTCATGACCAAAGTTGTGACTCCTGTTGTCAAGATTTCTGTAATGTTGGCTACTTGCGATTGGAATTCTAATTTAGAGACACCATCAATGGCGAATACACACTGGTTGCCAGTTTAGCAAAGAAAGCAAAATTCAAGACACCCAGCTAAATTTCAGTTTCAGATAAACAACAAGGGAAGTTTTAGTGTAACTATCCCTCATGGCTTCTGTTTATTAGAAGGAAGTCAGCAAGGTCAGCCCTCAACATGAGGGGTATAGACAAAGAAGAGGATACCAGAAGGTAGGGGTCACTGGGGGCCATCTCACAGGCCCACTGCCATCCCCTACTTCGTAAATTTCCTAAGAAGTCCACTTTATCCCAAACAGATGCTTGCCCAGAGAGCAAGCCTAGATACCTCCTCTCCGGAATTCCTTCCTTGGGCGATGATTTTATGAGACGCACCAAGGGCTTAGAGGTTTTCCCACTAGGTTTTCATCTACCCAGTGTTGAAGTGAATGAGTGTGTTATTACTTGCGTCCTATGTAAATAATAAAAGGGGAGATGAAAGATGAATTACAGCGTTTGCACTTTATATGTCCACAGTGTTGCTGAGGTCTGTAAGTTATAAACATACGTATTGATGCATGTATCATTTCACAGCCTGATTATATCAGGACTGTGAGATGATATTTACTTCCTATAAAAGGATGTGAATTGAAGTGGCAAACTTTAGACCAGGCAGGATAGAATAGAGAGGTTTATGTTGAAGCATAAATATGAGCGTACGTGAATGGATTAATCCTTTTGCTGAGAACTAGAAAGCCTAGAAAGATGAAAACAGAACCTTGTGCATGAAGGTGTCAGAGAGCTGCCCAGGAGCCAAGATTCCAGAGAGAAGGGGACTCTCAGGGCTGAGCATCTCCCTTTGCGTAATGTGCTGAGTCATAAAGGGTGAGGAATGCTGAAAGGCTGAGCAAAAATTGGTTGCCAAGAGGTGGGCATCTGAACACAGTATTTGGTGGTGTCGACAGGCTGGGAAGGAAAAATCTGGAGTTTTGGAAAACCAAAGCAGTCAGAACTTGAATGCCAAGATCTCAGAAAGGAAGCTCAGAGAAGAGAACCCAACATCTGAATTGTTCTTTTTTTTTTTTTTTTCTTCTCCTTAAGGTATTCTTCCATATGTAAGGAGCACAGGTTAAGAGGCAGAGGACTGAGCACAGGAATCAGCAGTCTCATACTGCTGGGGATAAACTTGGGGGTTCAGAGGCCACCACAGCAGAGAGGTTGTGTGGAGCAAGCCCTGAAGGGCGAGACCCTAAAAGCAAGTGTGAACGGGAAATAAAACATATCTTACTGGGTGGGGAGGGTATAGCTCAGTGATACAGTGCATTCTTAGCATGCTCCAGGTCCTGGGTTCAATCCTCAGTACCTCCATTTAAACAAACAAACAAACAAACAAATCTACTTAATTACCCCTCAAAGATAAATAAATAAAATATTAAAAATAAAAAATTAAAATATTAAAAACAAAAAATTAAATATTTTAAAAATAAAGTCTATTAATAATAATTAAAAAAAATAAGCCTCACAGGTACTGAAACCCAACCTTGCTTTAGCTCAATCTCTGCTCCTATTCAAACTGCCTGCCGGAAGTTAACGGAGGCAGACTCTGTCATAGACTGACGGGGGCTTCAAACTTGAACTTGTATTAGAACCAACTAGAGGGCTTGTTAAAACACAGATGGCTTCAACAAAACAAAAACAAAAACAAAAACCAGAGATTACTGGGATCTGTCCCAGAGTTCTGATTCAGCTGACCTGGGGTAAGACCAAGAAATTTCACTTTTAACAAGTTCCCAGGGGATGCTGATGTCAATGATCTAAAAACCTCTCTAGTTTTCATACTCAGTATCTGATATCCAATCAAAAAATTATCCAGTCAAAAATTACCAAAAAGCTACCATGTCAAGAGATAGGACCAAGAAAAAAAGAAGACTAGCAGGAGACCCAGGGAGATGAAGATGCTGCAGTTGCCAAACATGGGCTTTAAAATAAATGTGATGGATGTGTTCATGAAAAGACAAAATGGAGAGCTTCATCAGAGAACTGGAAGTTACATATTTTTCTTAAAAAAGAACAAAATGGGAATTATAGGCTGAAAAATAACAATCACTGAACTCAATAATGCAATAGATGTGTCTAACAGCAGATCGAGGACAAGATTGGTGATCTGGATTGTGCTCTACACTGGAAATTGACACAACATTGGAAACTGACTATAACTCAATAAAAAAGAAAAAAGATTAGTGATCTGGAAGACTGGTTAGTGAAAATATCCATGCTGAAGGAGAGAAAAAAAGATGGAAAAAATTGGAAAGAAAAAAAAAAAGTCATGAGTTTTTTTTTTTTTTAACATTTTTTTCATTGAGTTACAGTCATCACGTCATGAGATCTTAATTTAGCATAGGTGAAGGCAAATCTATGGACAGTACTGCCCCTCCTACAGGGCAGACGGTTGGGTAAAGGATAGTCATTCTGAAGGGACCGGACATACATATGCCATGGTCCCCAGGTTTGTGCCATTAGGGCTGGACTTGCTCAGACAGTTGAATTTGGGAGGGAAAGTTTCATAAACCCAGAAATAGGGGTCTAATAAAACAGTAAAAGCAAAATGGTCAAAACCAGGTATGAAAAACTGGCTTCAGACAGATACAACCACTCACAATGTATGATCTTGGATTGGAGAAACAATTGTTATGAGCACATGGAGACAACTGGAGAAAATTGAGTATGGACTATATCTTAGATAATAAAAATTTAGCCAGGTTAAATTTCCTGAATTTGACCATTTTGCTGTGATTATCTAGGAATGTTTCTGTTCTTAGTAGACAAATGCAGAAGTATTTAGGGGTGTGGTTCTCTATAGACAGACAAGCAGTCCAGGGGTCAGAATTTAAGACAAAAGAACAGAGGCCCCCCTCTCACACACGTACTCCAGACATGTGGGTATATTTGATGTTCCCAGGAAATATGCGGGTTAGAGAACTAGACGTGGAAATAGAGCAAGAAAATTTAATTATGGGCTGCTTTAGATGCTTGCTCGCCCACACCTCACATCCTCCCTGTCACACATCAATACAAACAGAGAGATGGTGGCCTGAGCCATGTCCCTGACTCCTCCATCATCCAGTCCACTTCTCTTTGCCCTCTGGACCCAGGTTTCCTGGCTTCCTGGATCAGCCTTTTTTTTTTAACCCCAAATTTTACTGGAACAAATAACCAAAGGGGATTCATTTTAGATTCTGGAGATAAGAAGACATTAATTACATTAATTAATTATAAAACGTATACATTTAAAAATTTATACAACATGGCAAATTTCCTTTTTTTTTTTTTTAAAGAACCAAGTCTTGGCTTTGCTGATCTTCTCCATTGTATTTATTTTATTTCATTAATTTTTGCTCCTATCTTCATTTTTCCCTCCTGCTAGCTTTTCTGGGCTTATTTTGCTCTTTTTTTCCTAACTTTCTCGGATGGATGCTCTCATCACTAACTCCATCTGTGAATAAAAATGGTTTTACTTCTTCCTTTTTCATCTGTATACCTTTCCTTCAACAGCTTTACTGAGATATAATTCATACACCATACGATTCACCCATTTAAAGTGTGTAATTCAATGGTTTTCACAGACATTTGCAGCCATCATCTCAAAAGGAACTCTGTATCCTTTAGCTATTACCCCCATCCCTCAACCTCTCACCCCTAAGTAACTGTCTATTTGCTTTCTATCTCTATGTATTTCTGGACATTTCACATGAGTGGACTCCTATATGTGACCTTTTGTGCCTGGCTTCTTTCACTTAGCATAATGGTTTCGAGGTTCATCCATGTTGTAGCATGTCTCAGTACTTCATTCCTTTTTGTGGCTAGGTAATACTCCATTGTATGGATATACCACATTTGTTTGTCCATTCATCAGTTGATGGGCATTTGGGTTGTTATGAATAATGCTGCTGCAAACATTCATGTATAAATTTTTGTGCAGACATGTGTTTTCATTTCTCTTGGGTATATATCTAGAAGCTGAGCTGCTGGGTCATATGGTTAACTTGATATTTAGTCATTTGAGATCCTGCCAAACTGTTTTCCAAAATGATCCTACCATTTTTCATTGTTCCAATTTGTCCACATCCTCACCAACACTTGCTATTATCTGTCTCTTTC